GCCATGTGGGTCACCTTTCTGACTGGGGATTGAAATTGTGCTGCAGTGGCTGGATATCTTCATAGTGCTGTGCTTTAACCCATTGCACCACCTGGGAGGCCAGATATTTCTTTCTATTTTATATATATTTTACATCATTGTTCATTTTTGAATAGTATATGCTTTCTACTTTCAGATGCAGTCCCCATAAAATTCCCACCCATGAACCATTACCATAGTCCCTTTTGCTATTCCCTTTCCTGTTTTGTCTCCTCCTCCTCTTTTGCAGAATGTCTCTGATTTATAGTTGCCTGTTAATTTTGTTTTTTAATTTATTATAATATTTTCCCCTGATTCCTTATTTGGTTCCCCTACATTCCTTCTATAAGTGAAACCATCCAATATTTTTCTTTTTCTTTCTGGCTTATTTCACTGAACATAACCCCTTCCAGCTCCATCTATGTTGCTGTGAATGGTGTAAGCTTATCTTTTTGATTGCTGAGTAATCTTCCATTGTGTATATATACCACATCTTCATGATCCAGTCACAGTTTTGGGGCATTTGGGTTGTTTCCATATCTTACCTATTGCAAGTAGTGCTGTACATAGGGGTACAGGTATCCTTTTAAATTAGCGTTTTGGTGTCCTTTGAGTATCCTAGGAGTGGAATTGCTGGATCATATGAAAGCTCCATTTTTAGTAGTTTGAAGAACCTCCACATAGCTTTCCATAGTGGTTGGACCATTTTGCATGCCCACCAGCAGTGTAGGAGAGTTCCCTTTTCTCCATGTCCTTGCCAACATTTGTTGTTTCCTGAAATAGGAAGGTATTTCTTCTTATACTAATAGGTCTCCAGGTTGACTATGATTTGGATGACATGGGCTTGGCTTCATGGACTGACTCTTTTAGGTTGTGGTTGGCTTCTGGTCTGTTCCACATGTGTTCTGCAGCCCATCTTGACTAGATATGTTCTTCTCATGGAAGATCATTGGAGCCAAGAGCCAAGCCAAATTGCCCAAGCAGATGTTACTTCTGCTGACAGTTTTTTTGGACATAGGTCACACAGAGAAGTCCACCCATGGGTATTGCATATAGTAGGGGAGGGACTATTTGAACATCTGCAATATTAACTCTTGCAGTGTGTGAAAAGTGTGGTGTGACTAAATAGTTTTATATATATTTTTCTTATTCTTGAAGAATGCAGTCTTTATTCACTAACTCCCACCCTGTCTTTATGACATGAAATGCCATAGTATTTATTTCAATACAGAAGTCTAGTGGTCTCCCTGGTGTGCAAGGGGTTAAGTTGCAGCACTATGAAGCTATCTGCAGCCACTGTAGCATGAGTTTGGTCCCCAGTCAGGGAGCTGACATGCATGGCGCAGCAGACCTCTTGCCCACTGCTCAACAGTGTATTTCAGTAGACATGCCTTTTCTGCTCCCTAGTGAAATCCTTTCCCCCTCCCCACCTCTGGTCTGCACCCCAGCTCTTGTGTGCATAAATAAACAAATCTGAAAAAACAACAACAACCCAAAAGTCTAGTATTTAACTTTAGCATTTCAAAACTATACCATGTTTGATTCTAAAGTGCTTACTATAAAAGCTGGCATGAGAATGCGCATGAATTGCTTAGTGAAATAAGCCAGAAAGAAAAAGAAAAATACTGGATGGTTTCACTCATAACAGGAACATAAAGGACCGGGGTAAGAGAGGAATAAAAAGCAATTGAAATAAAGGAAAAACAAACAAAAAAACAAACAATTATACCAGAGACTTTTTATTGGGGTAGAGTGGGGAATGGGATCAAAAATGGGGTGGGAAATGTGGATGGGACTATGGTGATGGCACATGGGTGATTTGGTGGTGGGAAGTCCATGGGGATGACAACTGAGATGGAAAAAGGCACAAAGTGATGTAAAAATAAACTAATTTTAAGAAAAGAAAGAAAATGTGTATGAATTACTTAAATTATGAAGTCACTATTTATTAGACCTTAGGGCTATGCTCAGTAGGTTGATGCACATAAGGGGTTGTTGTTATAGTTGTTTGATGTGGGACCTGCC